TATGTGTATATATATATATATATACACAGGTGAAACTCGAATAATTAGAATATTGTGCAAAGTTCATTGCATTTCAACTAATGCAACTTAAAAGGTGAAACTAATCTATGAGATAGACTTATTACATGCAAAGCAAGATAATTCAAGCCGTGATTTGTCATAATTGTGATGATTATGGCTTACAGCTCATGAAAACCCCAAGAACCCCAAATCCACAACCTCAAAAAAGTAGATTATTACATGAAATCAATAAAACAAGGATTGTACATAGAACAATATCGGACCTCTGAAAAGTATCTAGTTGCTAACAAATTTCTCTGCTTACATTTTGCTGCGGCCGACGGTTAGATTCTGCAGCTGGCAAGTGAATGTAAACAAGGGGCAGAAGCAATAGCCAGCCTACTAACTATCAAGCAACGAGAAACTACAGTTATCCGGCATCCATTAATCCACATGGGTAGCGGATAACTGGGAGTTTACTGTATATAGATATTGTATATATATATTTTTTTTTTCGCAGCTTTGATATCTTGCCGTTGTGATATTTCGAGACATTCTCTATTCTCTGTGTATGACATTTACAGGGTTATTCACAAAAGGATGAAGAGTTTGGAGGAGGCAGGAGAAATTAACAATCTAGGCCAAAATAGCTGATTTGGAAAAATTACAAACTCTTCACCCTTTTGTGAATAACCATGTTAATGTCTGCCTTGTGTGAATTACTAATTGTTTTTTCTAGAAGTATGCACAATTTAAATTAGAGACATCCCCTGGAAAAGGGGGTTAAGACCCTTGACAGCTATAAGGGTCAAGATAATGGCCCTTTCTTATTACAACCGTGAGATTGTCCAGGTGGTAACAATGAAGGCAGACATTTTTTGCAGACAATTTGGGAAAGGATATGGCAACACAATTTTTTTTTTTTTCAGAACAGAGATAGGTGATTTGGGAATAAAATCCACAATAATTATATACAAATATTACATCTATGGTTTGCGTCTTTTAAAACTTAAAATAAACGATCCCTATAACAAAGGAAGCCCTTACTGATTTGATTTTTTTGAACATTTCCTTTGGTCGTTGAGAAATAAGTGTCAGTTTACTGGTGCATATGTTGTAGCTAAAATATAGTATTTAAAGCTCTAGGCAAATATAAAAGATAAAAGTTAATGCAGCTCTGTACTGTATTCATTCATAAATTATTAAATGTATTTGTTGGATGTAACTAATGTACAGCAGTCTTTTACTGCCTAATCAGTATCCTGGGGGTGGAGAGTCTATAACTGTAACAGAGGGCTGGGCAAACCCATTATGGACAGAGAAACACATTCTTTGAAAGGTAAACAGATCCCTGTATTTCATTTGCTTGCTATATTTTTTCCCTGGAGTCCAGTTTTAAATAACTTTGAATTCACTTTAGAAAAAAAAATGAAAAGAATTATGCAGCATTAACCAGTTGAAGTCTGCTGTGTTACACCCCCTTCACATCCAGGACATTTTTCAGTATTCAGCGCTGCAGTACTTTGACTGACATTTATTCCGTCATGCAACGCTGTACTGAAATACATTTTATACCATATTTTGGGGGACAGATAGAGCTTTCTTTTGGTGGTATTTAATCACCACTGCGGTTTTAATTTTTTACTATATTAAGGAAAAATTACCAAAATTGTTTTTTTTTAAAACTGTTTCCCCTATATTACATGATAAAACATTTATTAGTACCCAATTTTTTGGTAAAATATAAGAGACGGGGTCATGTCGGGTAAAAAGACACCAAACATGTCAAGCCTTAAAATTGCGTGCGCGGGCAAAACCTCAAAAAACTATAATACCCAAAATTGGCCACAGGCGACGCTTTAAAAGCTTTTATCGCTCATCAGTTTAGTGTTATCAGTGATTGATGGCCCTAAAATGATTGCTCTCCCTGCGACGTTCGCGGCGATATGTAACGTGTGTAGCGCAATTGTCACTTTCGTGCGCTGGTGCACCGGACGTGTATTTACGTTTATATGTGCGTAAACGTGGGGGTGGGGAACTTAGGAATTTTTGGGGGGTTTTTTAAACTTTTTTTTATTTGTGACTTATTTTTTTTAAACTTTTTTTATTTATATTTATTTTTTTTTACACTTATTGTTATTGTTATTACATATGGGGATAACATTCCCCCTATATAATAGCAAAGGCACACTGACAGATCCTCTTTATGGAGACATTAGGGGTCTCCAGGACCCCTAATGTCACCTACGGACCCCAAAAGAAGCTGATGAAGCAGAGATCTGCTTCATCAGCTTCTTCTCTCTGGCTATAGCAGCCAGATGACTGACAGGTAAATGCGGAAGTGAGGTAATACACTTCACTTCTGCATTCACAGCACGGAGGGAGGTCAGCAAGGAGGAAGATGCTGATCTCCCTCCCATCTTACCTCCTGATGCCCTCCCGAGTCGGTCCTGGGCCGCAGATGGGGCAGCGGATCCTGGGATTGAAGGTGAGGGGTCAGGAGGGGGGGCGACAGTGGCGGCAGCACTCGAGGGGGGAGAGGGGGTCACGCAGCCAGCACATATACACGATCGGCAGGCTATAGAGCCGCCGATCGGGTATATGTGAAACAGCCGTCAACGGCTCTTTACATTGGACGGGTTTTTTCTGCCCCCTAGCGCGGGAGCAGAAAAAAATGCCGTCTGGAGACGGCAACCCGCCAATGCGACTGACGTCCGTCTGTTTCTTTGCAACGGGTGGACGGCAAGTGGTTAAAGATAATGAAATAATAATACTACAGAGCAGGATCTATAAGCAGTAACCCATAGCAACCAATCAGAAATGATTTATTCTTACTACACTAAGCTGTGATTGGTTGTTTTGTTTTTTCATCTATCAAAGCTCATTTCCCCAGGTATTAAGGGGCTTTTTAAATAGATGGATTAATCAGTGTTAATCTTCCATGCAATTATGTGTGCATATGGTAATAAGTAGAAACCGTATCCCATTATGGCAGACTGATAACTGATAATATCATGGGAGGATGATGTCAGTGGAGTTAAATAGGAAATAACAGGAGGGAAGAAATATGATCATAACTGAGTAATTATTAAGACAAGAGACATGCAAGTCACAAGAAGCTTGCTTGCATATTTTGTTTCCCTTAGGAACTGGTACAGAGTACATGATAATTCGCCCTAGCTTTTCGCATGCATTTATCTGCTGTGGCTTCTCATTCTGACAAATAAAATCATGGCTCACTGCCAGGTGGAAGAAAGAGTAATGGCAGGTTGAGTAAAATGGGACAGTAGAATTAACAAGACTGTGCAAGGGGAACGTAATGATGATATATGAGATGTAACCGTGTTTTAGGCCATTATTAGGCAGACTGTAATGCTAGCCTGCATTTTGTAATGCTTGCATGTATTTGTAATCAATCACATCAGCACATGTGGAAAGTGCTGATCAAGCACCTACTTTGCTTGATAGGCCAGCTGTCCAGGTCTGCACATAGGGCATCCACTTCAGCTCATCTGGATCAATGTATACCATACCACACCGGCTTACTGTGGCAGGAGATGCCACTTTTAGATCTTGGACCTGCAAGTAAAAAAATGTTCAGTAAGAGAGTATTGGACTGCACTACTGAAGTTAACATTATTTTATAATAGCCCGCCTAACTATAACATTACTTTATAATAGCCCGCTTTACTATAACGTAACGGATTATACACAGGGATAACTAAGCAAGATTGCATTTTAAGTTTCAGTAAAATGTTGTCATTCTGGCAACGGAGACTATGGGACAATGGACAACGTTAGGGTGGTTTTCAGTGGCTTTTCAGGGCGCATAATTGGTTTTAATTGGCTCTTGAGGGTACCAGACACTCCTGCCCTGGACATGTCCCTGTGCCAAAAAAACAGCCCCTCTTTAGCCTTATTGTTTTTATACTTTTTTTTCAGAGAAGGAAAAAAAATCAGACAGAAGGGGGAAAAAAAAGAAAACCCAGAAATTTAGAGTGACAGTACAATAATAAGGATCAAATACACACACAGATATGCAAATAACACGAAAAAATCCTACTAATAGACAAAAAAATTTTTTTTTTAAAGTGAATTTTACCTAAACAATTCAATGGGAAAAAGTGAGAATTTCTGCTGTAGTTGTGCAGCAAAATCCATACTCTCATCCCTAGTTACAGTGACTAGAGATACTAGTAATATATAGTAAATATATTATGACTAGTATATAATATGACTAGAGATACTAGTAATAATATATATATAGTAAAAATAATAGTACTCTTTATCAGCTTACTTACATTCACTTAAACTGTTTAATATACTTTAATATACTTAAATATCACAAACCACATGATGGCTACAGTAGAAATCTTCTATATTTACGTCTTTATGCAGTTATCTAGATTAATGTTACTTAGCTTCACATTCCAGGATAAGGAAATACAAATAACTCTTACACCATCACTATGTGAAACTAACAACCGTGGTTTCATTTAGCCAGAAAATGGTTCTTTGATAAATGCCATTTTTGCCATTATGCAAAATTAGAAAAATATGACTCTGGGGTCAGTTCTAATACTTGAAAAGGTTATGTTTTGCTAGAATAAGTACTTAGTGCAGGCTGATTCTTACAATTTAAAAAGTAATGGCTCTATCATAACCTCAAAAGGTTTCCATACACAGTGGTGCCTCGGTTCACGGACGTAATTCGTTCCGCGAATCTGGTCAGGAACCAAATCAAACTGTGATCAGACCATGATCTCGACTAGAGGAAGCTATGACCATGTGTCAGAGCAGGGAAAATGGCTGCGGTTGTGTTCGTCACCCGAAGCGGAGCTCGTGAACAGAAGCAAAATTTTGCCGAACTTCCTGTTCGCGAACCAAATTGTTTGTGAACAGAAGCGTTCATGAACCGAGGTATCACTGTATTTGGCAACTCTGATGGTGGATCGTTTTACGACATATCATTTTATAAAGATTTACCTCGAAGACCATATGAATGTGTGGTGTGAATTTGATCCTTTCGCTGTTTGCCAAACAAAGCATCTTGTTGTCATCCAGGACAGTGTTCATGTTTTCAATCCACAAAGCGTCCACCGGGCCATCACAAACAATCCATTTGTGGTCCTTTGACGTGTCATTCACAGCTGCCCGAACGCTCAGTGCCATTAACCCATCCTTCCACTCCAAGGTCAAATTGTTAACCTCTCCATATAGTTCACCCATCGTGATTGATTTGGGATTAAGCACGTATGTTTTAACAGGTTGGTAAAAATGATGTGTTTCACCAGCCTTAAATAGGGCGGTCAGTGTATCTGCCAGAATTTGGTAAACTGTAGTTTTTCCTCCACCAGTTGGACCAACCAGCATGACACCATGCCTTACAATCATGGTTTCAAAGAACTGGATAACTTTGTGTACCATATTGCCTACAGGCTGTAGACCCCGGGCAAGCATTACATCTATGATGGTAGACTGTAAAGAACCATAGTCGTGTTCAGGAATGACAACTCCAGGGAAAAGGTCAGATATGATGCCACTGAAAAAGAAACAATTAGTTTTTGTCTGAAACTGGGACACAGTAGTATTATATTAATAGCATTGCACTGCAAACACAAGAAATAGGTCATTTAATGGTATCAGAAAGACTTCAGTCCACTGTTATATTAATTATATTAACAGTAGCTTCCTTTAGTTGAGGGTACACTCATAACAAATACCATAGCTTGCTCTGATGGGAACTAATACTAATACATAGGGGTCTATTCACAAAGCTGCCGAAGGATCTGGCCGTAGCTTCGGCCGATCCTTCGGCTAGCTTCGGCCCCAGGACCCCTTCGGTACATATTATCAAGCATAACAGCATCATGTTGGTAGCTCTTAAAACATGTGAAAAGGAGCCTAGAGTTCCAACTGCTGGATGGAAATAAAAATAAAGAATGTTCATATGCAATATTTCACATTTAGTAAAAAAATAAATATATATTTTTTGGTCATGGCTATAATAAAGACAATACATACAAAATCACAAACATTCAATTTGTCTATCCATAAATAAAAGATCAAAACGTACTAATCTGCTATATATATATACATATATAGCTCACCTGAACAGTTCAGCATCGTCTGTTAGGAACTTGGGTAGATTTGAGTCCCGTAAAGCACGAATTAGGACAACATCCTCATTTAAATTTGGATTTTCTCTTTTTAGTGAGCTTCAAAAGTAAAAGGAAAACTAACTAATAAATAATTTAAAAAAAAACTATAATCATATTAAAAATATGAATTACTTTGTCACCTATTTCTTACATTTTCTGGCTTTTCCTGGACTAATCAATGTACCATTTAATGACATCATAGCCTGAACATTTTTTTTGCCAAGCAATCAAGAAAACAAGTACATAACCTGTATCATGTATATTTATAGAGGCAATAAAAAAAGCTACTTTAAATATGTTGAAACAGTGAATGCTTGTGGTAAAGATATTGATATAATTTGCATCCCATTTGTAGATAAACTACATGGCTAGGAAAACAACAAAGTAGCAGTGATAAGCACTGCATATTCACAGATCCAAACTCAGTTTCATTTGTATGTATTCAGACACTAGGGTTTATTTACTAAAGAAGTAGAGAATGTTTACATAAGGTGAAGCTGCAATAACTTTGTGCAAGCAAATTTCTTTTATTTTACCTTGTACATAATTGGTTAAGTATAAAACAGGTTCTTGAGAGGTGGACCAAAGGTAACCTTAAAATCCACCCGCTCTGAACAAGTGCCAAGCACAGTAATGATTACTGCAAAAAGACTATCTACAAATCTCACTTTCCTCACAAATGCAAAAGCTATTAAAAGGTTTACCGTATTCCTTATTTTAAGATAGTGAACAGAACCATGCAAATTATTCCTTTATTCCTTTATGCTCCTTGGCCTATTGCACACCCAGAACTACTAGTTTACAGTACAGATACAGCCTAATAATATACAGCCATTTAATCCAAACTGGATACAGCTGTTTTCCAGTATGTTAGTCATCATCACTGCCGTGCATGTAATCAAAGACTTCTGTGAATAGGGCTAAGGAAGCAACAAGACATGATTGGCTATTCATAGTAAACACAGCTTCACCATATTCAGTAAGCTAAGTAAACATTCTCTACTGCAGTGGCGGAACAATCGCCATAGTGCCCCAGGCAGCCACTATGGGGCACGGGAAACTGGGGGGCCCAGCCAGGACAATAACCCTGTTGCCGTGCGGGCCGCCTGGGTCGCTATGGCATCTCAGGCTGCTGGCTGTCACTGGCGGCTGTGAGAAGGAACGCGTTGCTGTTCAGATCACTGACAACCTGTCAGTGATGTGTGCAGCGGCACGTTCCTCCTCACAGCCGCTGCTGAGTCACTGACAGCCAGCAGCTGCGGAGGAGGAGGCCGGGGCCCGGCGTCGGCAGTGAAGGAGGAGGTGGGGCTCAGGGACAGAGGAGATGGGACCTGGAAATTGAGGAGGTGGGGCCCAGGGATGGAGGAGGTGGGACCCATCAGCGACCATGAAGGAGGAGGAGGCAGACAGTGGATCAAGGCTGACAGGTAAGAGGGTTTGACCAGCCCACCCGAGAACATGCAGAGCCCACCATAGAGAGTTTATGGTGGGCTCTGCAAGGTCACTCTCAGGTGGGCTGTTTTGGTTATCAGGTGGGCATAACTAGAAATCACAGGGCCCCATACAAAATTTTGCTATGGGGCCCTGTGATTTCTAGTTACGCCCCTGCTCTACTGGTTTAGTAAATCAATCACACTGTGTAAGTGCCATACATTTGCATATCATATAAAATATAGAGCAAGGTAGGAGAAGAAAATGTAAACTTGTGCTGCATCCTTATCTTTAAATAATAATGGCAGGGTGGAGATGTAAATAGATATATGAGTATTCAGGTTTCCATGATGTTATCATTTTTGTTTGGTCCCAACAGAACTCAAATGTTTATATAAAATAATCTGAAACCCCCCAAATGATTCAACTGCACTAAGCCATGATTGCAATAATAATTAAATATTACCCCATTTCTTACCCAGCCATGACCAAGACAGATTTTACAGCTCTCATGCCGAAATCATAGTGATCTTGTTGTGATAACTGTTCACTGCACAGTTTATACATTTGTGTCATCTTCCTGGCCAAAACTTTACTGGACTCAAATCCTTCCGAATAGAGAATAACCTACAATAAATAAATTGAGTTAGTCGACATTCAACTAGCGTTAGTCTACATTCAATTAAATCACTAAAGTGTCATTTTTAAAGGCAAACTATAGTTATTTTACCTTTTTTTAGATATTCTTCTGAAAGCGGCTAGATTTACTGTACATCATTTTATTAAGGTGAGCTGTTTTGTTTTTTTTACTACCACTTCTAGCAAAACTAATACAGAAATGCCTCACTTACTGACCGAGTTCTGTTCCTGCACCTAGGTTGTAAAGCAAATTAGTTGCTACGCGATGATTAGAGGAAGTCAGCTAATGTAAATATTAATGTACAATACAGTAGTGAATACGGCCTTACTACTGCGGGAACGATACTCAGAAAGGGTGATGTGAGACAAGCTTGACCCAAGTTCTCGTACATTGCACAATATCGATTGGTTGGGCAGCTGGCTGTAAGTCCCAGCAGTCGTTAAACAGGTAGGTCAATAAGTAGCTGTACTGTAAAAAGTGTACTGTAAAATGTGCATTTTTGCCAATTAGATCATTTTTAAGAGCTCCTTTTTCACACTTTGAAGAAAACCAGGTAATGTTGTGATTAGTATTTATAAAGCACTTTTCTCTGTCAGGACTCAAATCACTGTACCAGTCATTTAAAAAAAGATAAACAATATGCTTAGCAAATATTGTAAAATGACTAATCCTTATAAACTCAAATCTATCAATATATCCAGTTACCAATCTGCCCAAAACAAAAACATTTTGTTTAAAGGGACATACATTTTATTTATTAACATTTAGTATTTTCACTCAGCAGGTGGTGCATTATGCCCTTTTTCACATGCTTACTGGATCGATCTTAATTGCTGGAAAAAAGCTTTTTGTTTACAGAAGTCAATAACAGAAGCTCAGATTACACACACAGATATATAAGGAGTGGGTCGTCCCCCAATCTGCTTGTATGACTTCATACAAATTTTTAAACAGTCTGAATGTAAACAGCTGTGTCACCCAGCAATAAATGTTTATTTCTGAAATCAAAATCAAAAGTACACATATTTTTTAAATGTAAACAAGACAGAACCAAAATCATTATAGTTCACCTCTAAGTCTTGTTGCAGTAATGGCTTCTAGGTTATAGTCATATTCATATGGTAGTTTATTAAAATTGGTCCACCCATTAGGTTTATAAAGCATTGCTCAGAAACCATACCTATGGACAGAAGTGTTCTGGAGTGATGGGTTGCTTCATCATACAGCTGGCGGTTCCAGTCAGCGTGAAGCTAAACAGGTATGACCTAATTTCAGTAATTAGTACAAGTACGAAAACCTTCACTGATATAATGTCTGTTAAAACTTACCACAACTACCAGCCACATGTTGAAGAGTCTCAAAAATTATACTGTGCAAGAGTATGTGTTCTGAGTAAGGTGATAAGTAAGGTGATAAGTCAACAAATCAGTGGATAAGGCATTTATTTAAACATCTGTAATGTAAATCTGGAAAGTACCCAGAGGCCTCTTCTCCTTTTTGGAGGTACCTTTTTTCAAGCAGTACATATAACACTAATATAAATGAGGAATATAGAATTTGAAAAGATAAGTTTATGCCAGTGGGTGTATGTAGTCGTACAGTTTAATAATGAATATACACTATATTACCAAAAGTATTGGGACGCCTGCCTTTACACACACATGAACTTTAATGGCATCCCAGTCTTAGTTCGTAGGGTTCAATATTGAGTTGGCCCACCCTTTGCAGCTATAACAGCTTCAACTCTTCTGGGAAGGTTGTCCACAAGGTTTAGGAGTGTGTCTATGGGAATGTTTGACCATTCTTCCAGAAGCGTATTTGTGAGGTCAGGTACTGATGTTGGACGAGAATGCCTGGCTCGCAGTCTCCACTATAATTCACCCCAAAGGTGTTCTATTGGGTTGAGTTCAGGACTCTGTGCAAGCCAGTCAAGTTCCTCCACCCCAAACGCGCTCATCCATGTCTTTATGGACCTTGCTTTGCTCCTTACAAATGACAGCTGCCTCCTAACTTTTGAATTTTTCTCTAGTGTAGGCTTGGAGCTGGAAAAGTATCTGTACTTGTATTTTTACTTGTACCGAGTACGGTACTTGGTATCGGTGCATCCCTATTTATAATATTATTATGCATGCATTTACCTCTGCAATCAAGGCATAATTTGGCACCATCATGGAGAATGGTCTAAAGAGAGCCTTGAGGTTGTCAGGCAACTCAGTCCTTCCGGCATAACCAGGATTCATCGTGATAAATGCTGCACATGTCATAACCAGCTTAATCTCACGGCCTTCAAACATGAATCTGGATAGCTAAAAAGCAAAGCAGAGAAGAGCATGATATTTGTTATAAATAATCTACATGTACAAGCAAGAGGATGGAGATCATGATACAATTCTTTATAAAAGATAGACAGGTACATAGTTAAAGAAGAGCTTCAACCAATACTGGGCTGCATTCTATCGATGAAAACTTTCTCAGGTCTTCAGCTTTAGTTCCAAAGACAGACAGGGGATAGATAAAAACAAAGGATAAGGACTTGATTACACAGAATTAGCGCCTGTGCAAGAGATGACCACATCATTTTCTTAGGTAAAACCCACAAAATGTGACCCAGCATCAAGATCTCTATTCAGAGAGCCTCTTAAAAAAAAAAAATACTGTATTCTAAAATCGTATGCAGCTTATACATGTATTAATAGTATTCAGTATATTATAATATATTGTATTTAGTGTTTCTCTATATTTTTCCCCACATTTACTTGCAGATCAGAGGATCATACTTTTTTTTCACAAGATCATAATACAAGTGTCGTTCTCACACAACAGCTCTCCCAAATCATGTTTTTTTCTGCATTTTAAATAATCCATAGGAAATGCATGGATAAAATAAGAATGCTGGTGGAGACGTCCCACTACTGAAGTCTCTAAGAGATATAAGATGCCAGCATGAATTTTATCTTTTCAGCATTCAGAAACATGTTTAATTTTTGACAAGAGGTGCTAGCTATCTGTTATGTTCATTTCATAGAACATAATAATCAAGATAACATTTTTCAAAAAAAGTGGGAAAGGGGCAATGTTCCAATATAGATAGAGAGATGAATGACAGATAGATAGATAGATAGATAGATAGATAGATAGATAGATAGATAGATAGATAGATAGATAGATAGATAGATATCCCTCAATTCAGAATGACTTGTTTTAAAACTTGCTGTTTTAACACCTCTCTCTGGGAAGGTTATTAACACTTAGCTCCAATTATGCAAATGTAATCAACACCTGGTTGTGACTAACAGATTAGGTGGATTGGAGCAACATTCACCGTATTTATTCCCAGATAATTTTTGTACAGGTCATTCTGAATTGAGAAAGCTGGTTGGTTTTTTTTAAATAAGTGAAAGTCCAGTTGCCTTGACTTAATTTTTACAGATATACCATGACCTGGATGAATGAGAACCTTCACAGACATCTAAAGGTAGTGTTAAAATTCCTTTCAATTTTATTTTTGTTTACTTTTTGTCTCCATTAATTTTTCAGAGCTCAACAGGAAGTGAAAGGAGATCTCCCTAGAGTAAAGGAAAGCCTCTCTAACAAAGCTGTCACCCGAACAAGTGTCTTCATTGGAACATTTTCCCTCTATTCTGTTCTGGTGACAAGTCAGAATTTGGGATTTTTTTCTTACTTTCATTCTGGGTGACAATAATCACTAGGACAAATAGAGAGGGTGGATTTCACCACTGCAATAATAACCTAATAATAAAAAGAAACAGTCAACACGCCAGTTGTAGATCCAGATGAAACGTTTATTGAAGTCCCACATCAGCAAGAAAAATATACCAACATATAAAGGGCACAGCTACAGAGAGGTCTTTCATCTGGATTTACAACTGTTTCTTCTTATTGTTGGATTTATACGGCACCACTGTTTAGCTGTACAACCACACAGGGGTTGTTCACAAATCTGTGAAGTGTGATTCTATGTCCCTAGTGAAGGCTCTAACCCTTCCCTACTAAAAAACTAAAAAAAAAAATATATTGAGTTTAGATACAATTTAGACCCAAAAAGCTGTTTTTTATTTACATAAAAGTAAAGTAGCAGAACACAAATTTTAGACAGCCAGGCTAAAGGAGGAATATGCATTTTCAGCTTAAACTGCTTGGTTGGCTAACAATTCTTACACAGAGAAGCACAACTCCTAAACAACTTTGCATCAAATTCATAAAAAGTCCTAGAAAAACACTTATGTAGTTTTTATTTATTTAGATGTGAAATGGAGATTGTTTTATCTAACAATCTCTATTTCACATCTTGGGCAAAAGCTCAGGGAACTTGATTTGGTATCCTTGGCAATGCCTGGCACTCATGCTTGACAAGGTGGACAAAGGAACCTATACTTTTTCCTCCTTTGAGCTTTGTCCTTAAAAAAAATAGTACCACCTCACCATGTGAGCCTGCCTTTAATACACCGCTGGCCTACCTGTGGCTATGTCAAGTGCAAAATATGGCAGGCTGAAATGAGTTTCCTATTGAACCTTCCTCCCTTGGCTATAAATAAATATACCTGCACAAATAAGCAACACTTGTTTACCCACTTGCAGTCCAGGGCATTTTCTTACTATTTGCGTACACTTGATAAAATATACATTTCTGGCTAGAAAACAGCTTCAGACCCCCAAACAATGGGATATGTTCTGAAAGCAGAAGCCCTGTAGAATAAAAAAAATGCTAGTTGCATTTTTTTTTACGTTGCACGGTTTTTGCGCAAATGTTTATCAAACCAGTATTTTTAGGGAAAAATAAACCAAATTAAAATTTAGTGCACAGAAACACAATATGATACCCAATTTTTGGTAAAATATGAAAGACGGGGTCACGCCGGGTAAATAGATACCAAACATGTCAAGCCTTAAAATTGCGTTCGCCTGTGAAGCCACAGAAAAAGTCTATACGCTGAATTTCCCATAGGGAACATTTTAAACACTTTTACCGCTCATCAGTTTAGTGCTAACAGTGATTGACAGCGCTAGAATTATTGCTCTCACTCCAACGTTCGCGGCAATATGTAACATGTGCAGCGCAATTGTCGTTTTCGCACGTAGGCGCACCGACGCATGTTTGTGCGTGTATGTGCGTGCACATGGGGGCCGGGGGACTTTAAAAAAAAGTTTGCTTTTTTTATGCTACTTTCATTTTTATAACTTTTAAACACTTTATTTATTTTTTTTTACACTAACCCTATTGCTATTACATAGGGGACCCCAAAGAAGCCGAGAAAGCAAATATCTGCTTCCCCAGCTTCATCTCCTGGCTCTAAGAGCCAGGGACTGTGTACAGTGACACCGGAAGTGATGTAATACACATCACTTCTGGGTCCAGTGATCAAGGGAGAGATCAGCGGTTCTTGTTTTAACCACTTTAACGGGTCGCTATCTATAGACGTATTGCGGCCCGGAAGTGGTTAAATAGAACGATTCATATTTCCAATGCCGAGTGCATGTCATCCATTTTTTAGGATCGCAGGCCTAAAAAAAAACCCATTCAATATGCGCCACTGCTTCCAATGATAGCGGAGGGAGACAGCTAATCTTCTAATAACAGTTTCTAAACCTACACTCCATTCCGTACATCACTCCCTTCAGTCCCTTTAACGGGCCGCTATCTATAGACGTATTGCAACCCGGAAGTGGTTAAATAGAACAATTCATATTTCCAATGCAGAGTGCATGTCATCCATTTTTTAGGATCGTAGGCCTCAAAAAAAAAAACATTCAATATGCGCCACTGCTTCTAATGATAGCGGAGGGAGACAGCTAATCTTCTAATAACAGTTTCTAAACCTACACTCCATTCCGTACATCACTCCCTTCATTCCCTTTCACATCGGCGATGTCCGTTCTGATCAGCATGGGATCTTTGTACAGATTCCCTGTTGATCGGAGCAGTACATAATGGATGTCACTCTTGTTATATCTGTCTAGTCGGTTTTTTTTCTCTTGTTTTGGAGGACAAAACTGACAGACCCATGTTGGTCTATGGGGAGTTGGATGTAAGCAGACATGTGTTTGTTTACATCCAATTACATCTACAATTACCAATCTGCCCCTTCCAGGTCCTCCAGAATGGAGCTCTGTTCATTTTTATTTTTTTTTGGACCCAGACCTGCATCTGTTTAGATCCAACTCCCTGAGCTTTGATCAATTTCAAGATATTCACATAATAAATGGAAACTAAAATAAAGTTTCCATAATGTTTGTAGAATTGGATGAATTAAGAAGTAGGCTAGTTGTCTAAAAATTCCATAACAAACATTAATAACCGCTGCCTAATCCGAACAAACACCACATCCTTGTACAATTTATGCAGACTTGCAAAAAGGAAATTAGTTAAAAAAGTTATTTCAGGCTTTCTTACATAGGGATTTAGTAGGAAGGACTGATTAGTGATAATTAGTAGATGAAGTTACTGTATATGATCTGCATTCATTGTGTAGGGATACAACAATACCAGTTTTTCGGTATCAAGTACAAGTACCGATACTTTGTTTTCGGTACTCGTCGATACCGAGTACCGATACCGGTGCTTCCGCTGCCATGGAGCCAGGTTTCCAGGTTGCCCAATAAGCTGGCTCCATCTTGTCTGAGCGGCTTGATTGTGCTTGGCCCGGGAAACTGGCTTCCCAGCCAATCAGCATGGAATTGCCTTCCCGGCCAATCAGGCAGCCGGGCGGCGGGTTAATGAACCAGCTGCCAACTTCCTGATTGGCCAGGAAGCCAACTCAATGCTGATTGGCCAGGAAGTCGGCTTGCCGGCCAATCAGCAAGCAGTCAGCTGTTCCGCCGACTCAATGCTGATTGGCCAGAAGTCAGCTTCCCGGCCAATCAGCATCGAGCTGGCTTCTTGGCCAATCATCCCAGGTCATTACTTGCCGTCCAGTTCCCCCACGGCACCGCCGGTCGGAGCATTTGGGTACAAGTATCGGTGCATCCCTATTATTGTGCATTGCTAAAACACAGAATAAACAGTAAAATTATTTTTCTTTAAATATTGCAGTGTATCAGTAACCAGTTACCTTTCCTGCTTTTGCATTTCTAATTGTGATGAGCTGCTGAGCTATTACAGAAAGAACCTCAATGTCAATTCGGTTAAATTCGTCAAAACAGCACCAGGCTCCAGACTGAGCCAATCCACTGAAGAAACGACCCATCATCTACAAAACAAATATCAGTATTTATCAATATGTTGTGCTGTCCTAATACGTTGACTTTCTTTATTTAGATTTTCACTATTCACATCTACTTATTCATACAATATATTGTAGTATTTTGTGAAATACATGAAATAGTACAGGCAAATTATGAAAAATGTAGACTGATATTGTTAGTAAAGGAATATAAATATTTTCTGAGATATCATTATTTCAACCCTTCCTATACTAGTAGTCTAAAATATGCATATTATTGACTGCACACTCAACAAGTTCAATACCTTGTAATCCAGCCCATCAGAACAATTAAACACTACACACTGTATAGCAAGAGCCTTGGCAAGGTCCTTGGTGGTCTCAGTTTTTCCTGTGCCTGCAGGGCCTGCAGGGGCTCCACCTAGATCCAGCTGAAGTGCACCCATGAGACACAAGTAACATCGGTCCTTATGAAAGCAAAAAACAAATACATTGCACTTTTATTAATCATTGTAAAGTTTATCTGCAAACATCATTTTAAACTTTTGCCCAGCATTCTAAATAAACAGGAAAATAAAAACTATTCAAAATTACATCAAGTGCACCACTTATTTTTCTAATTATATTTAACATGTATTTAAGAAAATACATGTTAAAGGAGAATGAAAACAATATAAGTCTCATTATTTTTCTTACCAGATCCACAAGACTAACACTAGCTAATGTTGAATCGTCCACGCCTTAAAGCTACAATTTAATCTGCTTTTATTTTGCCTTCCCTGTTTCTGTGCATTTCACATGACTAAAGACTAGAAGGAGAATGAAAGAAGGGTAGGAGGATTGGCTAGGCACAAGCAGGAAGCAAAGCCAACATATGCATTTAGATAAAAATGAGTGTACAGCGCTATATATCTACACTTCCATATAATAAGTGAATACGGAAGTGTAGCCATATAGTGCTGTACACTCATTTTGATCTGTTTAAAAGCATTCACGCTTTAAATATAGCAGCTTGATATCCTTTGCCTAGTTATGGAAGTCCTGAACGCAGAATATTAGTAGACTAACCTATGTAAAATGTTTTACATGCTAACATATACTGGTCTGATTGTCCACTTTAGACTGATCTCCATCACATGTATATCTAACAAAAAGTATTACACTTAATTTCCTACTAGCCAACTAGTGCTGATATGGAACATACAAAGAGCAAGAGTGGTTACACAGGTGAAAAAACACACTAGTTTTTTCCCCTACCTCTTCACCCACCTCTTACTTCTTCTCCACCTTCCCTTCCTATCTCTTTCCCTTCAGTTCCCCCCACCCCCACCTGTCCCTATCTGCCCTCCCCAAACTGTGTTTCCTCCCTTTACCCTCCTCCCCTAATTTTATTGATGAGAGTCACTTCATGGACCTAACCAATTTCCCATTTTAGGGGTCAATTTATTTTCTATACTTATCAGTGCCATTTAGAGGTGCTAGTGCCATGCAAAAAGAATCCGCCCAGCTATACGCCAGGTGGAACTTTTATAAGTGAACCCCTAAATGTTAAAAATTTATTCAAGATAAGCTACAATTTTAGATACCATGAACATTGTTATATCTATCTGATCCTCAGGAAAGGAGACCTGCAACTTTTTACAATGTGTTGTGTTGTAGAACGCTGTGTTCTAGTTGTGGAACATGGTGTAAATCCTGGCATTGTTAGAAATAAAGAATTATTTTAAAAAAAAAAGGAATAAAAGTTTTTCCCTACTCTTCTCTCCTCTGCTTGTAAATGGTTTGGCTTTTATAAATGTGCTGTTTCCCTTAAATACTAACAGAGGCAACGTTTAGTGCTGAACTCCAGGCAGATTAAATCAATGCAAGCAATGTAACTACCTGAATTTTACTTCAAATTTGACTTAAATTCCAGAACTGGATAGGCAGAAATACAAATTCTTTGACAAGCAAAACAGCTCCCGTATATGTATTTTATCTGTGTATTTAGCTATTTGTCTGGAGTTCAGCTTAAAACAATTTGTTCCACTAAACATGGACACTTTTAATCAGTGGTCCTTTCAAATGACAACTTTGAATTATAAAATTGTGAAAATATTCTCACAGTTAGGGGTGTGATCACCAGTCGAGCACAGGAGCCAAGATATTCATAAGCATAGGTGTACTGAGACAAAGCCATCCGGGCCACACAGTTATCCAAATCAAGGTCCCAATAATAACGCAACTGTCTCTGCCACTCAAAGCTGTCAATGCTGTTAACCTAAATAAAAAACACAAAGATAAATATAGACTGCTTGTTTCACATTGGTTTTCTCTCCATATACTCGGTTTTAGAAATAAGATATCCATCATAAATGCAGTTTTATTTGCTTCATTAGTTCATCTGACTCTTTCATATTGATTATTCTGCTTACTGGGCAAACTGTGTTTTAGCTAATGCAGCTTTGCAGTAGAGTATGATTAAAAACTGAAACCTTGAGATGTTCCCTATATGCATCTAGATGTCATCGTCTTGCCTTTTTGACTGTCATATCCATCACATAAAATATGCTTAGTGATTTCCTGTTGTATTGAGAAAGTCCCCCATTTCAAGTCACTGGGAACAATTTACTAAAGGCAAATAGGCTGTTCACTTTCCAATGTTTTTTTTCCCTTAAAGTAAAACTCAGGAGTTACATTTTAAAAATACATTCAAGTACCTTAAAGTGACATTAAAATCAAAAACTGTTTTCCCTCCCCCCAATGTTAATTAAAGCACTTACCTTAAATGATGTCTCTTATTCCGATCTTCCACTTCTTACCTGTCCTTTTCATCTGTCCCTCCAGCGCTGCTGCTGGTCTTCGATCCAGCGCTGACCTCTGTCCTTGATGGCACTTCCTGTCCCACAGTGTCTGCATGCGGGTGCACGCGTCCATAGACTTACCGTGTGTCTCTCCTCGTCTCCTGGCCCAAAATCTGACCTGCGGATTTTCGGACGGGAGCGCGCGGTGAAGACAGGGGTAAGTTTAAACCGCTTTTTAAGCGTTTTTTTTTACACTTTTTGCATATATCTACTGCTTGCTAACCTTTAACTGATGATAAAAATGTATCTTATTTTTGTATCACTCAGCTATAGATCCTCAAATCATCTCTGAATTGGTGCTGACACTGTCCTTCCTTCTGGAGGGTGGCTACCTTTGTTCCCAATGGTACCTATGTGTGTTGTAACGTAGTCACCGCTCCAAGCTCACTCCCGTGATGGACTACAATCTCATTACAAATTAGCTCACTAAACATGAGATTGTAGTCCATCACAGGAGAGAGCTTGGTGTGGTGGCTACTTTACAACACACACAGGGGCAGTGGCGGAACTACCGCCGGTGCAGGGGGTGCGGGCGCACCGGGGCCTCAGGCTCTGGGGGGGCCCAGCAAGTTGCCGGCCGCCGGATCGTTATCCAGCGCGCGGCGGGCCCCTGGTCTCTCCTCCGGGAGTGTCGGATCATC